AGAGGGGCAGGATCACCTCCTTTGACCTGCTGGTCATGCTTCTTTTGATACAGCCGAGGATACAGTTGGCTTTCTGGGCTGTGAGCACACACTGCAGTTCATGTTCAGTTTCTCATCAACCAACACTCCCAAGTCCTTCTCTACAGGTCTGCTCTGAATCACTTCTACACCCAACCTCTAGCTTTGCCTGGGATTGCCCTGGCCTGGGTGTAGGATTTTGCACTTGGCTTGGTTGAACTTAATGAGGTTGGCACTGGCCCACCACTCAAGTGTGTCAGGGTCCCTCTGGATGGCATCCCTTCCCTCCAACTTATCCACCAAACCACACAGCTTGGTGTCATCAGCAAACTGGTGAGGGCGCATCAGTCCAGCTGTCCATGTCACTGACAAAGATGTTGAACAGGATTGGTCCCAACACCAACCCCTGATGGACACCAGTCGTTACCAGTTTCCAATTGAACATTGAGCTGTTGACTGCAACTCTTTGTGTGCAGCCATCCAGCCAATTCTTTATCCACCGAGTGGTCTATCCATCAAATTTATGTCCCTCCAATTTAGAGACAAGGATGTCGTGTGGAACAGCATTGAACACTTTGCACAAGTCCAAGAAAATTATGTCAACTGCTTTGCCCCTATCCGTCAGTTCTGCAGCCCCTTCATAAAAGGCCACCGCATTGGTCAGGCATGATTTGCTCTTAGTGAAGCCATGCTTGTGCCTCAGCATGTTTTCCAGGAGAATCTGCTCCATGATCTTGCCTGGCACAGGTGAGACTGACTGGTCTGTAGTTTCCCGGGTCTTTCCTTTTCCCCTTCTTGAAAATGGGAGTTATATTTCCTTTTTTCCAGTCATCAGGAACTTCACCTGACTGCCATGATTTTTCAAATATGGTGGACAGTGGCTTAGCAACATCATTCACCAGCTCCTTCAGGACCCGCAGATGGATTTCATCAGGTCCCATGGACTTTGCACATTCAGGTTCTTAAGACGATCTTGAACCTGATTCTCTCCTACAGTGGGCCTAAGGTCTTCATTCTCACAGTCCCTGCATCTGTCTTCCAAAACTTGAGTGACATGGTGAGAGCATTTGCTGGTGAAGACTGAGGCAAAGAAGTTGTTAAGAACCTCAGCCTTCTCCAAATCCAAGGTAGCCAGTTCTCCCATTTCCTTCTGGAGAGGGCCCGCATTATCCCTGGTCTGGTTTTTGTTAGAAACATACCTACAGAAGCCTTTCCTGTTATTGTTGACATCCCTGGCCAGACTCAGTTCTAACTGGGCCTTAACTTTCCTGACCATTATGATCTCTAGCTACCTGGACAATATCCCTAGCTACCTGTACAATATCCTGGACAATATCCCTGTATTCTTCCCAGACCACCTGTTCTCACTTCCACCTTTTATAAGCTTTTTTCACTTCCAGGTTTTCTCAGCAGCTCTCTATCCATCCATGAAGGCCTCCTGGCCCTCCTGCTGCATTTCCTTCTAGTCGAGACACAACACTCCTGATCTTGGAGCATGTGATCCTTGAATATCAGCCAGGATTCTTGGGCCCCCCCACCCTCTAGGGCTTTATCTCATGGAACCTCACTGAGCAGGTTCCTGGAGAGGCCAAAGTGTGCTCTCTTGAAGTCCAGGACAGTGAGTTTGCTGCATGCCCTTCTCACTGCCCTGAGAATCATTAAAGGTATTCATCAAGTTAATTCATGGAAATTCTACAGGGGATATTGATGGCAAGCACTTTGTGCTGGAGGCCTGACTGGGATCATCAGACTGGAATAAAATTTATACTCCCCAAAGTTTTTGCTGTGCAGAATTGCTTTTCCTTTGGCCACTTGGTATGTGTTTTGTTTTCATGAAAGAGAGAAGAGAAATGCCTGTGGTATCATTTGCAGAACTTGGTGCGAGTCTTGGAATTTCCCACTGCCTCTAATTTTAATAAAAGGTTAATTTTAGCTTAGATAAGCTGCTTTTATCTGTGGCCTGTATGAAGCAAATTATTTTTGTATTGTAACCAGTGAACTAGAGTTCTTGTTACGAGTGTAGTTTCTTATTAGGACTGAATAGATTTTGAAAATAACTGCATGTGAAAGTTGAACTTTGTGATGTACTGATACTGATAAGAGAAGAGGGAATGCAGTCATGATGCTGATCCTTCCCTTTGGTTTCCAAATGTACTGTGGATGGGAAAAGCTACTTCTGCCTGATTCCACTGAAGAGACTTTGTAACACCACCTGCATGGTGTTCTCTCTCTCAGAGGCAAAAAAACAGAGCTGATGACTGCTAACAATTTTATAGTGGCATCAAACTATGGCTGTTTTGGTCATTGGTGGTGCATGTAAATAGTATAGAAATTAAGAGGTGAAGAGGGGGATGTAATATTTATTTCTGGTAATGAGGTGTAAACTTCAGTCTGGAAAGTCATAGTGCATCTTCTTGCTTCTTTTAATGCTTCTGTAGGTTCATAACCTTCTAGAAGACTTGTTAACTAGCTTACGGACAACACAGGCAGCTGCAGAGGACCACCACCAGCAGGTACATGACTGTCTTCTGTGAATGACTGATTTAGTCTTGGAATATTTTGTGTGCAGGTAGTTAATGAAAAGACCAGGTGGGCTGTGTAGGCACAGTTAAGCTGAAAAATACCCTTATAGGTTTAGGGCAAAGAACTCTCAAGGGAAAAGGTTGTACGTTTCCTCATTCCCCTGCTGCAAGAACTTGTGTTCATCAGCATGATTCGTCTGGTGAATTCTATCTCCCATCCCCCTAGGGGAATGAGCAAGTGGCTGTGTTGTGCTTAGCTGCCTCCTGGAGTTAAACTGTGGCAGATGATGAACAGGATGAATGATGTGGGCAGAGGGAGATAGATTTGTGGTTGAAAGCTGCAAGAGGAGACTGGACTGGAGAGATCCATGTTATCTTTGCAGCTATTTCAGAGCTTTCCCTTGAGACCATGTTAGTTTCTGTCATAAGAGGCAGCATTTCACTACTCTGTAAGGACACTTTCTTGAGAAAGCTGTACACCCTAAGGATTTTTTTTTTATCTGAGCCTTTGTGCTAAGGTTTTCATGACTTTCTGGAGATCATTAGACATCTTTTACATATTTTTTTTTTTTCTTGCATTACAGAATGCCACTGAAAGCATCTAGTCAACTTGCCTTCTTTATACTTGAACTGAATCAGCGAATTCTGTTCCTGTGCATCAAAAATCAGATGCATCTGTTGGGCAGAACTTTTTCCCTTTGGGTAGAAACATAAATAGCATTGCTGATTTGAAAACATTTTCTTACTCCTGGGACATGTACAGCTGTTACAGAAGCCATGAGGGTAGAGCATTTTCTGTGGTGGGCACTAACAGAATTCTTACCTTACAAAGTATGTATTGTTAGGAACCCCAGATGACCTTTGGAAGAAAGTTGTAGGGCAGTTTTGTGTGTGTGCGTGTGTCATCCCCCAAAGCTGCAACCTATCTTGCTACTTCTAGAGCGTTCATTCTTTCCACCAGGTTCAGCTGCTATTCTTGGTTATGTTTTAAGTGCATTAAGCTTAACCGTGCATTTTGGGTGGGGAAAGGAGCGCTTAGGCCTGTTTCCATTTACGTTGCTGCTCTCTGTTGCAGTGTTGTCCTTCTGGTCACCTTAGATTTTCTTTTGTTGCTTTTGTTTTCATAGACACAAAAGCAGAATGTGCTGGGTCTGACATCAGATGACTTGCACAGCATGTGGGAAGAGCAATTGAAGTCAAGATCACACCTTGAAGAGCGTGTTGCTCAGCTTGACAGGGAAAAGGCTGAACTCCTGGAGCAGGTGAGCCCAGAAAATTCTCCAGACAGCTAGTCAATACCCAGAGAACTGTGTCCACCTTTTTGCTGAGTTCTTGCATACTCTGCTTTTTTCCATTATCCCTGTCATTCAAGCTCTGAGTATCTTGTCTTTTGGGAGTCATCCAGGAAAAGCTAGTTGGGTATCTTTCTGTAAATTCTGCAGCAGTTCTATTAGGAAGAGTTCCCAGTGTGGTTTGCTATCAGTTGAGCACATCAAATAAGGCCACAGTTCCCCAGGTCTTGGATTCCTTCTGATCATTTTCTAACTCCTTGGTTCCTGGGCAGTGTTAAAATGCTTCACGTTTCCAGTGCAGTGCTTCAAGGAGCTGGTGCATGTCTTCAGGGTAGCAGGAGCTTAAAAGCCTTGCAGAAATCTGTACTGAAGGAATACTGGGCAAATGAACTAGTGCTTGGGAAGCAAGAAATGGCTGCCAGTTTCCATGGGGCAATCTTTCCCTTTTTACCTTTTCTGTAGAAGAAAAATGGAAGTACAAAGTCAAAACAATTACCACCTCTCCTCTGGTTTGGGTGAGAAAATGCCAAGAGGAAGATGTCAGTAAGTAAATACCCAGAAAGAAGAGATGGAAGTAATGGTAGCAGGGAATAAAGCACTGAAGAACTCTAAAAGATCATATTTCTCCATAAGTCCCTGCCTTTTGGTCATTGAAGGTCCTGTGAAAGCTATAGATTGATCTCTGTTATCCTATGATGTGCATACCTACATAATCCCTGCTATGAGCAAAGGAGCTGCCAGAAGTGTTCTCCAGCACCTTTTCCAGCATTTTGCCTTGAAGCATTAGAAGAGAGTGGCCCTAGTGTCAGTGGGGGCATCTGTTTCTGTTGTTAGCTATTGGCCTGTTTGTTGTAAAACCTGAAGTAATTAACTGTTCTCAGGAATTCTGTCCCTTGACATTTTGTGGAACTAGGCTAACAGAGACATAATGCAGCTTCTTTCTGGAAAAGGCTAGATGCACATACTGCACTGTTCCTATGCTCTGTGTGTCATGTGTCCTTTCTGTTTTGAAAGTGTGAGAATGAAAGAAAGAAAGTGAAGAAGCTGCTAGAGTTGAAACGCCCAGTTGAGCTACGTCTGGATCAAGAAATGAAAAGAAACATTGAACTGCAGAAAGACTGTAAGAGGTGTGGTTTCTTAGCATGGTGAAGTGTTATTGAACTTCAGTGTACAAATAGGTGTACATAACAGTTTGTGAGCCAATTCGAGCCTCACCTTACTTCTTGCCAGGCACTTCAGTGCATGAGCCTATAGTTTTCCATAGCTGCCAGAACTGCAAAGGCAGGTTGCCCTGTACTTACCCTGGGGGAAGGGAAGTCTTTCAATCGTCTTTTCACATGAAATTTGGAACCTCCAGGTGATTTGCGGCACAGGAATGCTGGTTTTTCTCAGTAATTCCCAGTGTGCCAAGTCCATTAAAGGTGAAGCAAGCCATGCCTGCACGCCATGCCTGCACTGTTTACACAAGAGTATGTGAAAGAGGATGCTTCTTCCTGAGCTTCATAGGGTTTTTTTTTACCAATTTGCAGATTGAAGAGGCTTCTGAGCAGAGCTATGAAGAAAGTAAGAGTATATGAGGAGAGAGAGATGGAGTTCCAGCTTAATTTGCAGGGAGAAGTGAAGAACAGGTATTCTGAAATGGTCAATGAACTTGGTAGATTAAGAACAAAGGTGAGTTCTGGTTTGTTTAGGTTTATGCAGTTGTGGTATTTTTCCTCTTGAAACCTGTGTTATTCCTTTTCTCGGTGTTGTTTTTTGTTTTACTTTTCTTCTTTTTGTTTCTTTCTTGGCTGTATTTTGGAATTGATTGTGTTTTCTTGATGCTTTTTCTATGATCCCAGTTATAAATAACTAAAATACTGATAGTGATGAATAAATGATGATATGATGAATAAAGAAGAAAAATTATGTGCAGAGCAGTATCTGCAAGGGAACATCAAGGGCAAGCCAAGAGTGACACCAAGGCTGGCAGGGTCTGTGACCTCACAGGCCAGGTAGCAGTCCCATGGGCCCTCACTGAGCAAGGCAGAGCAGGCCCCATGACAGCAGGCAGGCTCACCAGGAGTGCAGATTGCCAGTCCAGTCCATAGGAATGGGCAGGTCTGCCATCCTAGCAGTTTGTCACATCCATGATAGAGGGTTGGGGCTGAGATCAGCAAGGCCTGGCACAGGCCTGTCTGCAGCTTGAGGCTGCAGCAGCATCTTCAAGGTCTCACAGGTGGATCCCTTCTCTGGAAGAGAGGGGAGTAACAGTGCTGCAAATCAAACAACTGTATGAAGTTGGCTTTGCCCAAAATCAGCTCCTGAGCCCTCTCTTAGGCACGAGTTGAGAGGGAGGCAATTCAGGTTTTGCTTTTCTAAATGGTGTCGCTGTTTCCCAGGACATGATGTGGAACCTGAGGAATGCTACCAGAAATTATGTGAAAGCTGTTCTTGTTTTAAAAGAAGTTCCTGGCTTCACTGTAGTTTCAATACTGAATTAGCAGATGATAACTACAATCTTGATGGCCAATCCCTTCATCACTTTCTGCCCCCCCCCTGTCTACAGGTTGGTGACCTTTCCCAGCAGCTGGAGAAAGAGTCTAAGAAATGCATACAGCTACAAGCACAAAATCACAATTTGCAAGAAGATTTGTCCACAATGCGTGAGAACCATGAAAAACTGGAGAAGAGCAAATGCCAGCTGAAAGAAGAGGTGGCTAACCTCAAACATCATTTGGAGACTAACATGGTGGATCGCAGCCAGCTAGAGCAGTACAAAAGAGAGATAGAGGAACGAGCTGCACATGAAATAAGACAAAAGCTAGAAGAAGTCAATCTGTTTTTGCAGGTAAGTGAATTTCTCACATGTGTCTGTAGTTGCTATTACAGATTTCTGTTGTGGTCATCATTTTCTAGTATTTTAGTTTTAGTGCCTGATTCTGTATGTTAGTGCTGTCTTTTCTGGTGGTTGCTATTACAGATTTCTGTTGTGGTCATCATTTTCTAGTATTTTAGTTTTAGTGCCTGATTCTGTATGTTAGTGCTGTCTTTCCTGGAGTGTGGTGGGAGAAGGGAATATGGTTGGGCCAGAGTGTTTTTATGTGTATGCAATGTGCTGGCAGTTCCCTGAAGCAACAGCTTGCCCAAGGTACATTTCCAGTTTGCAGGTTTTGGGGACTATCGCTGTACACTGGTCTTGTTCTTGCTGCTCATCCTTGAAATGGGTATTGTAACTTATAGGAATCCTCTTCTATATGCCCTGTCTTATAGAGACATTGTTCTTTCATGAGTAGCTTTGACTAGAAATAGTGCTAAATCATCTCATACGGTATTTCCAGAGTTCCACCTTGATGGCTGATGGTAGTGAGGAGGCACACTTGCCTCACTGAGTAAAGCTAGGCCTCTGAAATTGAGTATGTGCAATTGACTAGCGGGGAGAGTTCTCTTTTTCTTTGTAGTGGTTGAAAGTGCATTATCTGTTTCAGGCACAGGCAGCTTCCCAGGACAGATTAGAACAAATCAGAACCAGTCATCATGCTTCTCTGAGAAACCAGCTAAAGCATAGAATAAGAGATCTTGAATGTGAATTGGACAGGATAAAAAGTACCCAACAAGACAGTATTTTTCAACAAGAATCCACTCATGTGGAAGTGGAAAGGTACAAAGAGCTGTATCTGGAGGAAGTAAAAATTAGAAGACGCCTAGGAAGTAAACTGGAAAGGTAAGTGCATGCTTTTTTGCGGTGGGAATAAGATACTACTTTTTCCTCATGCATTTTTCTCTTAAAATCCCTCTTCTACATCTGGTCAGTGTTACGTATGTATGCGTAAGATGGCATATTTGTTAGGAAAGTACCTTAAGACCCTTCCTCTTCATTAGAGCCGTCTCTTTAGTGTTTTGACAGTACCACTGATCATGGCATTAATAGGGTATCTTTTAAGTTCATTGTGTTTTTACACGCAGACTTTTTTTCAGTCTCTAGTCATCTCCTCCTCCTCTTCTGCATATGGCAGAAAAAATAAATTTCAGGTCCCTAATTGCTTGGATAAGGATCGGCCAATTTAGAACAGAATTTGATTCTGTGAAGAAAACAAAAAAAGAATCTTTTTAACTCCATTTTAGCAGTGTGTCTGAGGTTTGAGCTTTCCCTGGGAAAGGGAGGGTAGCCCATAGTTTTTATGCAGTTGATATGGCTTTCAGTCGTAAATGTTGGTAACTCTTGTTGCTCCTTGCAGGTAGTGTGACTTCTTAGGAATAAGCTCCAAAAAACTCGGATCAAATGATGCTCTTGTTTTGGATGCTTTTAATCCCTTCCACCTTCAAAAGTCAAATAATAGCCATAGACCTGGAGGGTAACTTTGCAGAAGTGTTACTACCAAAGGTGACTCTTTGTTTCTGAATGTTTCAGAGCTAATGAGAGACTAGCAGAAGCCAACGCTAAGCTCCTTCAGGAGCGCCGTAGGAACAAATCTTTATTCACAAGCAGCATTGTCAGCGGAGGTCTGGCTGAAAGTCCAGTCCACTATTCAGCTGAACTGGGACATATTGGCAACAATTTGACACTGAACAGAAGTCTAAGTCTAGGAGGAAGCTTCCTAAGTCCAACCTGGAACGCACTGTCATCAAGAAACAGGGTTGAATCCTATGTGGCTAAGGTAAGCATTTTCATAGAATCATAGAATAGTTGGGGTTGGAAAGGACCTTAAGATAATCTAGTTCCAACCCCCCTGCCATGAGCAGGGACACCACACACTAAACTATGTCGCCCAAGGCTCTGTCTAATCTGGCCTTGAACACCTCCAGGGTTGGAGCATTCACAACTTCCTTGGGCAACCTATTCCAGTGCCTCACCACCCTCACTGTGAAGAACTTCTTCCTTAGATCTAATCTAAACCTCCCCTGTTTAAATTTAAATCCATTACCCCTTGTCCTACCACTGTAGGCCCTCCCCAGCATCCTTGTAGGCCCCCTTCAGATAGTGGAAGGCTGCTATGAGGTCTCCACGCAGCCTTGTCTTCTCCAGGCTGAACAACCCCAACTTTCTCAGCCTGTCTTCATATGGGAGGTGCTCCAGTCCTCTTATCATCCTCGTGGCCCCCCTCTGGACTTGCTCCAACAGCTCCATGTCCTTTTTATGTTGAGGACACCAGAACTGTACACAGTACTCCAAGTGAGGTCTCACAAGAGCAGAGTAGAGGGGCAGGATCACCTCCTTTGACCTGCTGGTCATGCTTCTTTTGATACAGCCCAGGATACGATTGGCTTTCTGGGCTGCAAGCACACGCTGCCTATTTTGAAATAGTGTTCTCAACTACTGCTAAAAAGTATCCATAAGCAAGGTAATGCTTTTTAGCGTAAAGTTAGAATCCATTTATAGATCCAAAGCATGTGGTCTGATATGTCAAAACAACTGCTAATGATCAAAACAGTACACAGCTATAGGTGGTAGGGATGAAGACTTTTGGTCATCAGGGTTGTACAAATTTCCAGAAATGCTCAGAGACCAACAAATACTGAAATCTAAGTAATGAATTGTGTAACTACATTCTTTTAGAAAAGAAACTTTGGTCAAGAATACTGTGACATAGAAAGTTCCCAGCGAAGTTTTTCATTAAATTTTAATGTATAGTGTGTATTTAAACCAGCTAACTTTATCATGAGTGTGAAATCCCGTTAGACATCTTTGTTTGAGACATCTTTTCCTTCTTTACTGATCTTTATTCTAGCAGTTTCTTCACTGGAACTTGTTTTAGTACATTAATACCAACAAAGAGATGCTTCATAAATAGCATGATATGAACGGGATTGCATAAGTTTACATTACAGTGCTGTACATATACTGTGCATAGAAGGCATTTGGTTTTGTAGTTCCTGCTATGTGTTACTACAAGAGAGGGTAAAATTAGCTGCTCCTCAGGAAGTTTTTACAGATTTCTAATTTTGCAGCATTGCTGCAACCTCTGCAATACCTCTTGCCCAGGATTGCCCTGTAATTAGCAGTCAGTGTGATAGCATATCCCTCACAGAATGGTGAACATTATGAGATTTGAAAGCACCTGTCAAAAGGTGTAATCAGTTTCCCACTTTGCATAAGATTGAGGCATGGAGGAGCTTCTCTATTCAGTGTTCTGTCCCTTGCGTAGTCTGTTGTTGAATGAATGTGAGAGGTATTTGTTTGAAGTCAATCTTAGTTCAGTGGTGCCACCCACATTGGAAAGAACCCATTTAAACAATGTGTCTCCAAACTGCATCTGGTTTAAGAAGGAAAAAAAACCAACCACCCAACAACAAAGGTAACAAAACCAGACAAAGCAGTATACATAACGCGTAGCAGTTGTAGTTACAGAGATGAACTTTCTTGTATTGCTGTGAATGCGTTTTTTTTGGGTCAGAGAGGTGGACATACATTACAGGAAGAACTTGGGAAGCAGTTAGTATTGTAGTGTCTGCAGGGGCTATTCTCCATGCAAGCAGTGGAAAGGAGGCAAGATTTTGAGGGGACCACCTCAAAAGTGAAATAAGGAGAAGGCCAGGACAAAGGGACAAGACGGATAGGGAGCAGGGAACAAGTGAGGAAAAGAAGTGACGGAAAGATGGGAGCAAGTTGTTAAACAAATAAAAAGGCAAAGGAGGAAACCATCCTGCTTTTAGGGAAAAAAAGCTGCCCTAGGTTGAAAGTGTTAACAGCTATGCCTTTTTTGAAGAATAACAGTAAACACCAAAAAAAGACAGTGAAGGAAGGGAAAGAAAGTGGGAGTACTAAGTGCTTCTTAGCTGAATTACAGTAACATTCTCCAGGTGGTCCTATCCATTTTAATTCCAGAAGAAATTGGAACACTGGGCATCTCAAAGTTTTGTCAATATCAAGATAGATACCTTTACTGGTTTACTAGCTTTCCTTAAGTGTATTGCAGAAATATTTTAAAAGGCTATTTCGTAGCTTATTGGTTTTATCCAGTTGCTAATAATATGCAAATGCATGTTTCAAATTGGTATATAGGCTGCTTCAACTGCCTTGTGAAGCATGATTCCCAAATCTACTTGTGAAGAACATTTGAGCTGATTCCAAGAAAAGCATGCATTAGGTCTGAGAATGGTGATACTGTTCTTAGTGTGTCTTAGTTTCTTTTCAGAGCATGTGTCTCGTATATCTTCCTGATACTAAATCCAGCTGCACATCCGTTTGTGATACTTCTTTCTGTAATTGGCAGTTAGGGACAACTGAGACTAATTGTAATCGCACACTCTGTGTAGCCCCAAGTCACAGTTTGGTGACTTCAGGCCAAGAGTACAGTTCAGTATATTCAGACAAGTCTTAAAACCTGATTTTCTTTTTCAGAGTCCTTCAGGAAAAAGTAACAGGGTTCTCAGAGGTGCAGTAGTTGCTGAAGGACATGCATCTAATTGGGTATTTCACCTAGAACTGCTGGCTTAATTTTCCTCAACTGGGTGCAGTATGTCATTAACAGTGTTTAAAGCCATACCATATCTCTGAGGAACTGAAAGTAAGGGTTCTTAACATGTGTCTAAAAAAAGAGGATTTAATTGGACATAAGGCTTTAAGTCAGGAAGTAACAAAAGGGGAAAACTGCATGTATCCCTCTGTCATACAGTAATGGGTGGTGAACCTCAGTCAATTTCCAAATGCAAAATTACCAGATGCTGTTATTTCTGCAGGAAACTTGTGCTGTTCTGGAGACAAGAGGGAATAGAAGGAAAGAATTCAGAGATGGCAGTTTTAGTCTATTTTGAAGCACTTTGCTGGTTATGCTGCTTAGTACTCTGCCTGTTTATCAGATTATTTAAAGATGGAGGAGTTTCTCTGACCCTTAAGTCTTTTCTGTACTTCACTGTTCACTTCAAGTATGCCTCCCAATTTTTTTCCAGTAACCTGGTTCCCTTCTACAGAACTTGTCTTGCTTTCAAATTCAAGCTGGAGGTTACAAATTCTTGGCTGGAGGTTACAAATGCTAATGGTACCAAAGCTCATAATCACAGGGAGTTAAGGAGCTTAAATTGCAGTGTGCCTCAGGTAGTCGTCTTGCACTTCTTTTTTTAGTCAAAGCTCTCTGTGCAGATTTGGTGTTTCTCACAGTAGTTTCCTCAAGGTGAGAAAGACTATCTGAGGTAGAGGACATGCCATTCTTAAGAGAAGGATGTTTATGTAAATTTGGTTTGTGCAAAAGCTTTGAAATAGCTTCTGGGGCAAGGGGGTGAAAACACATCACCCTGCTATTATTCAAAATGCCGGTTATTAATTATTTGTCCGTACAGCTGTTGGAAAAAACATTAGTAAATGATGCTGGTTGCAAACAAGAGGAAGAAGTGCTCCTCTAGCAAGTGGAAACAGCTGCTTCTTTTAGATATAACTAAGGAATGTGGAGTTTAAAGGTTTGAAAGATATATCAGTTTTCCTAAACTGCTACTTAACATGATGGCCAATGTCAGTGATTACGCATATAGACTTATATTTTGAAGATGGTTGTGTTGCAAGCTCAGTAAAAAATGAGCATTCTATGTTTTATTATTTATTTTTTAGAATAAAGAAATGTGTTCCATTACAGTATAGCCCCTTCCCCCTTATCAGATATATATGCTACAGAAATTAATAACCTTGAAATGGAAGTGCAGAAATACCTTGAAAAATACAAAAAAGTTCATACTGACACAAGCTCATTAACCAGTAAAACCCCAATCACATGCAAATGTCTGGGGTTTATGGTTGTTATAATTTTTATTAGATTTTATTATATTTAATTTTATTATTTTAGTAATGAGGAATAGATGACAACTACTTTAAAAATTCTATGCATGTAATTACAAGCAGTGACAAGTAGTGACTAGCAGTTCATTATGTTCTGGAAGGAGGTTGGCTGAAATTTGTTTCATAGTAAGATTTGTGTCATAATAACGATGTATATGTGTATTTTCTGTCCTTTACAGGAGTAAAGAGATATTAGACAGGGTCTTTTTGTCTTTTAGTGATCTAGTCTACTGACTCCCAAATTGCTCATGAATTGGTATGTCACCACCCAGAACTAAACTGAGTCAAGCAGATGAAATGAAACACAAATAGAAGGTACTGCTAGTGTCCTGTGTACTATAATTTTGGAACTGCAGCCTTAGTCCATAGACCAAGGTGAGGAATATCTGCTGCAAGTGGTGCAAGGAGATTTTGGGACTGGAGTCCTATTGTTAGGTTTAATAAATGCCAAACTTAAATCCTAACAGCTGTGCCAAAGGCTGGCGAAAATGAATGTGCGTGTCTTGAAACACAAAATAATAGTGAACTCTGCTACCTGCAGTCAGTGTGAATTAGTGGATTTATGAAACCAGTTTTCATAAATAACATGAGAAAGGGAATGTCTGCTTCCTACTCTGTCTCAATTTCTGTTCCTTTTCGGATTTTGTTTTCCATCTGCACTCTTGTATTGTAGCAGTCTCTGTTAGCTTTTTTACTTGCTTCATTAACATGTAGGCCATGTTCTTATTTCTCACTGAAGAGCTTTGAACTTAAGGTCATTTTTTTTCTTCTTTGGCTCCTTAATCAAAAATCTCTTCTTTCTTCTCTGCAGCCAGATATGTGACAAGGTTTGTGGCCAGTATTGTATAATGTTGGGTGGTATTTGATACTAGAATATTTTGTCTGTTTAAGCTGTTAGGTTTCAATTAAAACTTACTGATGCATTCACATTTTCCTGATTTTTTAACATGTTGGTTTGTCCAAGTGAAAGAAGGACTGCTGTAGAGTACTTTCATGCTTTATGTATTTGCAATATTATGGCTTCTGTGGTAGTTAACCATCTGTAAGATGACAGTGTATGGATTTCATCTGTTACAATGGAACTTCTTAACCTATAGGAGTAGGCTGGTTTACCCTCCTTGCCAGTTCTGATATTCAAAAAGTTCTTGGTAGTAACAGTGGTTGTGTCTGAAGTACCAGTACTGTTCCGAAGTTGAGTTCCTAGTCGCTGAATATCATCTCATGGAATCTTACGGAATCCAACTTACTCTGTGCTCAAGCAACCCTTGTGGGTAACTACTAAGTCAACACCGCTTTCTGAAAAAGAGTTCTTGAGAAGGTGACTGCTGCAAGGAAAACCAGTATGTTGCAGCCTGAAGAGATGTGCAGTGAGATGAGAAGTACCTGCTCAGGAGCTTTGGGATAGTCAACTGTGATGCTTTTTCTAGGGGGTTGAGGGGGAGGGGAACAGTGGAGGCAAGTTGTAGTCCTCAGAGGTGTATTTTGCCTGGTTCTTATTCCCTTATCAGAAATCAGTGTGTGTTGGCTTCCACCTATTTCTCTTTTCTCAGTTGTGGATGAAAATCACAAAGATGTTAGTTTAATAAGTAAGAGGAAAACAAGATCTTTTTTTCTCTTGATTCATTTGCACATGTTGTGGAGGGTCCTGTGGACCTTCTGATCGTTGTGAAGGCTCCAGAAACCAGGGAAGGTGGTTTCTTCTAACAGCTCAACTCCTACTGCTTTGCTTAGGATTCATCTTATGATCTAGGCATTAGTTTTCCTGGTTTTTTTGTTACCTATGTTTCATTTTGAGTGTGAGGGGATCCCTTCTCCCCAGGACTTTGCTGCTGCTTGTACCTGTTTGAAAACAATTAGAGATTTGGGTGATCCTTTTCTGTTGTTCTTTCAGCTCCATGTTCCTCTCTTCTAGCTGTGAAGACACACACTATTCCAGTCTGGAGATGTAGTGAATTTGGTCACAGCTATCCCTGCAGTCTGGAGAGACAGCCCTTCTCTCCGCTTCGCTGGCTTATGGGTTCGCTTCTTTGGCCCTTAGAGTTACTGTCTGTTAGTGCTCCTTTTGTGAAAGTATGCAGAGTGCTTCCTTTCCTGAAGCTCTTGCTCTCTATGGCCTTTTGAGTACATTGTACAGGGTTTATGGTTCTTTTTTTGCTGTCGGTATGTTACTAGATGAGCCTGCTCATTTCATAATATAAATGCTTAATCCCCCCAGGGATTCAGTGGTAAAATCAGAGAATCGCAGAATGGGTGGAAGGGGTCTACAAAGGTCATCTACTCCAACCTCACCCCTGCTCAAAGAAAAGTCAGCCATAGAAGGTTGCTTGGGGTTATATTCGGCCAGGTTTTGTACGTTTCCAAGGATGGACACTTCACAGCCTTTTCTGGACAACTTGATCCAGTGTTTGACCATGCCTACAATTTCAAAGAGAAAAGAAAAAAAAGAAAAATAATCATTATGTTAAAGTGGCTTTTCCTCTATTTTGATTTGTGCCCATTCCTCTTGCTCTTTTACTTGGCACCATTGAGATTATGGTTCCATCTTGTTTACTTCCACCCACCAGGTATGTATACACATAAGTAAGGTCCCTCTGAGCTTTCTCTACTCGCGTAAAGAAACAGTCACAGCTCTCAGCCTCTCCACATAGCTCACATGGTCCAAGCCCTTCAGCATCTTCATGGACATCACATGCTGGGAAGCTGTATGATAATCTGTTTTGAAATTCACTTCTGCGTGTCACAAACTTGGTGGAAGAAATGCAGGAGTCACAAGTATCATCAAATATAAACAACAGCTTATAGTGCTTGGACTGCAACTCTCAAAATATCTGATTTTGTCTTATGGAGACTTTGAAGTCAGAATCATAAGAGAGAATAACTTCATTGGTAGCAGTAACCACCTTCTAGGGGAGAAAGGAGAAGTGCTCCTTTCTAGTGATCAAAGCAGATTTTGGTTACATAATAAACCCCACAGCACTTGCTGTGTAGAAGCTGTAGCTGTTGTTATCTTTGTTTATTAGAAAGTTCACAAGAAAAAATTGTGTGTGCTTCTATTTTTATGTGTGTGTCATGGTATTTGCAATAACAATAAAGAAAAATCTTTGCATCATCTGTAGGAGCTCTTTTAATTCTCCATCCTAAGGTGGAGAAAAGAATATTGCATGTTTTTTTTCTATACAACAGTGTATGTCAGTTCTGTGGCAGCTGCTACTGCATCTTTACTCTTATGAAGCTACAGAAGTCAACTGAATTTGTCCCTATGAGTGGCATTTGTACATATCTCGGCAATAAGCTGATGTTCTGCTCTTGTATTTGATGCTAGACTTTAGCCACACCTTCATTGTAAATAACTCCACTGTGTATTCTTCCTGTATATTTTTTAAATGCCCAGTTAAAATCCAGCTGGTGAGTTACAGATCATTGTGCTATGGTTAATGTTGCTCAGCAATGAGAATGCTACAGCCTGGCTGACCAGGAGGTTCTCTTCATTGAAAATCAAACCTCTAACCCCAAACTAAGATGTCTCTATTTGGGATGATTTTTTAAGTTTTTAACAATGTTTTAGAAGTTTAATATTACAAAACTGTAACTTAATATAATTTTCTGTATGTTTCTAGGTACGGCAGGAACTGGATGAAAAAATCACTAAAGAACTTGAACAGGGTAATGTGTCATGTTGGGAGTGTTTTTAAGGAAAAAGATGACTGTTCCTAACTCTTGCAAATAATGGCTTGAAAGCTGTCAAGTTCCCATGCTAAGCACAGGGTTTTTTTCTGCTAACTTTCCAGTTTGGATGTCAATGTGAAAACCTCCTGCTTACCAAAATATTGTGTAAAATGTTATACAGTTGCCTGAAAAATAACAAGCACAAAGAAAACTAACCTGTTTACCACACCCAGAGTTAATCCTCAAGCACATCAAACATAAAAGAAGGCCTGAGAGAAGATTCTATAGATTTCAGTCATCGCTTCTCCTTCCATATACATCGAATGCATTCAGCACTAAACCATGCCAGACACACTCTCTGCTGTTAGTTCTTGATTTTTGCTTGTATTTTTAGCTTGTATGTTGCCATCTTTTTAAATAAGCGAGAATAATCAATGGCAAAAGATACCATTTCTTTAGGAACAGATCAGTGAGCGATGTTTACAACATAATGATGAGCTGAGTGCTTGTAGTACATAGCATAAAACATGCTCCATAAAATAAGGCCATATGTCCAAAGAGGAATTCCACCTGTTTCATGATAGTTCTTCCAGACTCGTGGCTTTGCAGTGACTGGTGCCATTTCAGAATGGGTAGACCCTAAGGGCATTTCCTTCTGTTCCTCTATGTTTTTAATCATTTAGAGTGTTCAGCTGTACCTTCCTAGCTCTTTCCATGTGTCTGAATGGACACAAAGCCATTGCATTGCATCCGTGTGTATTATTTTGAACATAATTGCACATCTGCTAGGAGTCACAGAGTATGTTTGGTTTGGGGACCTTGTCTGGAAAAGATGACTGGAGAAAGATGGCAAAGGCAAGTTTGCTTTCACTGGGGTATGTGTTTTCATGGAGGAAAGAGTTTTGCCAGGGCAAGTTATAAAGACACCCCATAGAGAAGGTGCCAGGCTGGGAGACTTGGCCTGGCCTGACTGCAGAGCAAAGGTGTTTGCATTTTCACAGGCAGATGCTTTCGAAGTTTGTCACAGTGAATGCAGAAGCTGTCTTTTAGGAGTAGTGTTCCAGTAAATCACCGGTTTGAATGTTTAAGGAAAACAGATACTTGAGGTCGAAGAGGTCTGCAGGGGGCTAAACTTTGCACTGGTCCCTGAGCAGGACTCATTTGTGGATCCCCTGAGATGTTCAGTGCATAGCCTCTGGAATTTCTTTCGCTAGCTTTAGAAATACCATTGATTGATAAGCAAAGATAGAAAGAAATGTTTCTCCCTTTGTGCCTAGCCCTTTCATTGTTATGTTCCCTTGGAAGTTTTTAAATCTCTTTCTGGATTGCAGTCTCTCCAGTTACCCATAATGTTTTTACAGTAACATCTTTGGCCCTGTCTACTGTAAAAGTAACACCAGGAACCTTTTCTCTTTTCTCCCTAGCCACTGCTGAACTTGAAACTGGATCTGCTGGAGCTTCTCCCATGATATCTACTGATGGATCTTCAAAAAATGTCCATGTTGTTGACCAGGATCCCCTTTGCAGGGCAATACAGGAGTACCGTGATGTTTTAACCAAAAATTACCTAATTTGAACAAAATGCTAGGGAAAAGCTCTGGAAATAATTTTGTTTACATAGTGCATCTATGGTTTCCCATCCCATAGTACAGATGTGAAAACATGCTTATTGCAGTGTGACTACTTGTCTATTAAATGGATGTCAAACACATTGCACTTAACCTATCGGTTTATTGCTGCATAGTTGTTTTGGTTTGCAGCCGTAGTAAGAACCATATCTATTTTTTCCTAACAGATTGACTAATCTTGAGTCCTGAGTTTGACGGAACTGTCAAAATGTTTCTTATTTATGTAGATGTATTATTTTACTCCACTCGTGTTCTGTGCTTTAACAAAAGAATTCCCTTTGTCCTGTTTAATCCTTTCATTCTGTGTGTTTTTAATGTTTCCAGTGTTATTTTAATGCTTAGGATATTATTCGATGTGCTTTCAGCACACCGCTTCAGTCCTAAGGCAGGGAATATTTCTGCTCATAACATTTTACCAGTGTTAAAGCTGGAGAATAGGGCACTTTACGTTACTGTCACTTGATGTGCCTTAGGTTTAAAATTACTGTGAGTGCATAGTAGTGCCAAGGAAGTTATGATGTGATCTGTTTGGCCTGTTTGTTTTGTATCGCAGAACCACAGAATGGCTGAGGTTGGAAAGGACCTCT